TTTCAGGATGGGCAAACAACTCACCAGAATCAGCCTTCAACTTGGAATTCAAATCCAAAGGAGAAACAACAGAAGATACCTCCAAACAGTTATACTTTTTAAGTAAATCCAAAACAAATTTTCTGTGATTTAAGAATACACCATAAGGTGAAGCACTAACCTCAATCCCCAAGAAATAGTGTAAGAGACCCACATCTTTTATTTTAAACTCATTATCCAAAAACGTCTTAAGAGCAGAAATTTCAACAAGATTGTTCCCTATCAAGATTATATCATCTACATATACAGCAAGAATGATAATATCACCAGAAGACCCTTTGACAAATAGAGAGTAATCATTTAAGGAATGAGTGTACCCTTGTTGAACATAAAGCTTGGGACAACTTTGCATCTGGAATCTTGCCTAAGCCATAGAGGGATTTCTTTAGCTTGCAAACTAAGGGGGCAGATGAGGATGAAGAGGAAATGGAAAGACCTTGAGGAAGCTTCATGTAAATCTTCTCATGTAGATCACCATGAAGGAAAGCATTACTCACATCAAGCTGAAACAGAGACCAACCATGCTTGACAGCAACAACTATAAGACATTTAACAGTGGACAATTTACAACATGTGAAAAAGTTTCAGTAAAATCCACTCCTTCCACCTGTGTATCACCCCTAATCACAAGCCTTGCTTTATATCTCTCTACACTACCATCAGCTCTATAATTGATTTTATATACCCATTTACACCCAATAGGTTTCTTCCCAGCAGGTAGTTCAACAATATCCCAAGTATTATTGGCATCTAGTGCCTCAAACTCCATTCTCATTGCATCCCGCCATGCTGGAATAGGTGTTGCCTGAGTATAGGTGTAAGGTTCAGATTCTGTAGGCTGAGTAGAAGAACAAGAAAATGAGGTAGGGAGCTGACACTTATAGTCTTGTAGATAGGATGGAAGATGGTGTGGTCTGTCAGATCTCCTTAAATGAGGAGCAGGAGGTTCAAGAACAGGAGGAATTGTGTCAAGATTGAAAATAGGTGAAGCAGGATTGGGAGAAGGAGGAGAAGTATGAGTTGACAAAGAAGTAGAAGGTGCAGTTGGAGAAATAGAGTTAGGATTAATATCATTATCAGAAGATAATGCAGGAGGATAGGATAAGAAGGGACTGGTAGGAGGAACTTCATCAGTATGTATAACAGGAGTAGGTACAAGAACAATAGTGTCATTAAAAGGGTCCAAAGCAGTACTGGGAGGAAGAATAGGAAGCTGTATGGCAGGAGGTGAAGAAGTGGAAGATGTATCAAAGGGAAACACAAGCTCATGAAAGACAACATCTCAAGAAATGAAAAATTTGTGAGTATCTAAACAATATAGCTTGTATCCTTTTTTGGCAAAAGGATATCCTAGAAATATACATTTCATGGCCCTTGGTTGGAGTTTATCCCTTTGTGGAATTGGGACAGTTGCATAGCACAAACAACCAAAATATCTTAGATGAGAATAAGATGGGACTTTTCCATGTAATATTTCAAAAGGTGATTTGTTGTTGAGTAATTTAGAAGGAAGCCTGTTGATGATGTAAGTGGCTGTTAATAGGCAATCACCCCAGAATTTGAGTGGTAGCTTAGACTGGAAGAGAAGAGCTCTAGATGATTCAAGTAATGTCCTATGTTTTCTTTCCACCACACCATTTTGTTGTGGTGTGTGAGGGCAACTAGTTTGATGAATGATGCCATTATCAGAGAAGAATGAAATGGCTATGTGACTGGACCCAAGTTCTAATGCATTTTCACTTCTAATAGATTGAACACTCATATTGAATTGAGTATTGGCCATGAGAACAAAAGCTTTTAGAAGAGAAAATACATTGCTTTTAGACCCCATTAGGTGAGTCCAAGTAGATCTACTAAAATCATCCACAATTGTTAGAAAATATCTACAACCATAGTAAGTACGGAGTGTGATAGGGCCCTTAAGTATCAAAATGAATGAGTTGAAAAGGTTTATTGGTTTGAATACTACTATCAGGGAAGGGCAATCTAGTTTGTCTAGCCATGGGACATACATTACAAGGAAAACATTGTTTAGGAGAAACATAAATAGTTTTCATTCTCACAAAAGGAACATGTGCAAGTCTTTGGTGCCAAACAATATCCATGTCACTTTAAGCAGCTTTATTACAAGTGAAAATGGAAGTATTTACAGATGTTAGATTGTGAACAGAAAGATCAGAAACTAAGCTGCAAGAATTGAAGTTTTTAGTAACAAAATTTTGTGGGAGAGATGTTAAAGGAAACTCTGCCTTGTAGAGTCCATCATCTACTCTACCAAGCTCTAGAGGCTTCTTCAGAAAATGGGCCTGGATAAAACATCCAATATAAGTGAGCATAACTATACAACGCAATTGCTATACTAGTTTATTCGCAGATAGTAAGGTTCAATGCTAGGAAAAATGCTTTTGCTTCGCGGGTCTATCACCCCAATTGGTTTAGTTAGGAAATTATTTATATGAGTATGCCCCTATCCATTAAGTTGTGATGAAAAGAAGGGACATAAAGGACATTATGCAAAGTGATAGATTCATTTAAAGAGTAAGAACTTGTACTTGTGACCTTCACTTTATATCCATTTGGAAGGGATACAAGATAATGAATAGTTAAAGGAGTTATATTGAAAATAACATCTTTATTTGAGGTCATGTGATCAGTGGCACCAGAATCAATTATCCAAATTAATTTTGTAGAATTGGTAGTTTGTGTCAGCATACAAGAACTAGAACCAGACACTACAGAATCAGACAATAATATACCAGCAAAATTGGCAGATGCCATGATATGAGGTGAAGTGACTTAATCAGATAGTTGAGATTATTGAAGCAAATTTATTAATTGAGTGTACTGCTGTTGTGTTAGACCAGGTATTGCAGACAAATTACCCTCAGAAGATACCATAACACCACTGTTGACATTAGGAGTGACACCAGATGAGTTTGGGTTGGAATCATTGGGGAATTCACTTTCTGTAGTCACATTGGTTGCAATTCTCTTGCCTTTGGTAAACTTGAAGTTAGGAGGAAACCCATGAAGCTTGTAACACTTATCAACTAAGTGTCCAGGCTTCTTGCAGTATTTGCAAAAGAGATTACTCAGGTTTCCTTTACTCTGGTGAAAATTAACCTTTTGAGTATATTGTCTTTGAGGCTGAATAAAAGGTGCTTTGTTGGTGAAGCCAGACACATTAAAGGATGTAGATTCAGAACTGATATTTGAACCAGGATTTACTTGTCTTTATTTTTCATCTTGTAACAGGATGTCATAGGTGTTATCAAGTGATGGCAGTGGTTGCATCATCAAAATGTTACTCCTAACACCAACATATATCCCATTCAAACCCATTAGAAATTGGTGGACACTATCCTCTTCTTCCTCTTTCAGAAGTTTTGCTCTAATAGGACATGGACAAGCATTTATTTTATTACTACACATTACCCTTAGTTCATCCCATAATTTTTAAGTTTGTTGAAATAGGAAGCTATGTCAAGAGCTCCTTGCATAGTGGAAGCAAGTTCTTTCTTTATCTCAAAAACCTTCGTCCCATTAACTGCCCCATATCTTTTATTTAATTGTTCCCATATGCTTTCAGCAGTTTCCGAATATTGAACACTCTCAGCAATTTCTGGAGAAAGTGAACTGGTCAACCAAGAGATGACCATGGGGCAAGTACCATCTACGAAAAAAGAAAAAACCAATTTAATTTTTAGCAGACAAAGACACAATTATACTTCTTTTCCACCCACCAAACCCAGTACCAGATAAAGGTGTGTGGACTAAGGAAATCCCAGGAATATCAGAGGGATGGAGGACATTGGACTTGAGGAATCAATAGCATTAGCATTACTGGTTCCGTCAATACTACCCATTGTTCACAATCAGAATACACCAAAACACAAAATATCGCAAACAGATATCACAACAACAACCCTCAGAGTTTGAGGAATAACCAGCAGTTCTACTGTAAAACACAAAATTTTGAGAAGGAACGATATTACCAAGCTCTTTTGCAACCGAAAAGAGTACGACCTTGATAATCACCAGAATCTCCAGAAAAAACCAGGATTTGAAGGCACAAATGAAGTCTGGAATTGAAAACCCTAACTTCGACGATGGAGCTTGAATGAATCAGAAGAATACTTGAACCCTAGCTTCGATAACTACAGTTGCCAACTTGAAACCAAGAGAAAACCTTAAATCGACTGAAATTGCAGAAAATTCGAAGAAAAACGAAGAAGGTATTTTTGCGAGAAAAGACGACTTTGAAATTTTCTCGAAATTGAACGAGGGTACCATCGCTCGATTCAGCTTGACGAGATCAATCGGGATCCATGCTCTGATACCATATGAACATCCCGAATCGAGTTAAAATTTAGGAACAAGTAGATTAGGGTTCTGTGAAATATTCGAGAAGAAGAAGAAGAGAGACAATGTTTTATGGCCGAAAAGCTAATTAGGTATTGAGCCCTTTTCTATTTATATGTGATCCGTTTACATACAAGTCCCATTTACAAAAGGAGCCAAAACTAATCAAATTACAACTTTGGCTATGTACAAAATAAAATAATGGCCAGTGACCGGCCCAGATACTAAGTGTTCCTTATTGGGTCTGAGGCCAAATAGTTAGATAGCCCAACAATCAAGTTAGTATATCTCACGATCTGAGTAGTTCGACTAGACAAACTAGTTTGGTTACATAATTGAGGTGTAGGTTCGATTTTTCTTAAACACCATTAGGGATCCTTTAATGATATTGTTAATTATGAGGGATCCTTTAATGATATTGTTAATTATGTGGGTTTAAAAATGATGAGAACTCTCCATCTATAGGGCTTATTTGAGATTTTAAAAAGTTGTAAGGTTCTATTTTAACATTTTAATGAATAAGAGGACCTGTTTGCATTTAATACTGCTCTGCTTCGACGCTGTAAAGAAAAGGATAGTTCTTTAGGGTTTAGCGTATTATTACAGAGAGAAGCAAATATGGGAGGGAAAGGGAAAAAGAGAAGAGAGAAGAATTACAGAGCAGCTCATGGAGGCACCACTAGGCTCCCTCCCCCACCCACCCCCTCCTCCCTTGATGCTCTTCCCTCTAAGCTCCGTCAAATTATGGCCTTTTCAGGTACACAATAAAACAGTACATTCCCTTGTCTCCATGTTCTTGCTCCTGAAGTTTTTCTAATACATGTATTTGGTGGAAATTAATAGTTTTTTTAGTTTTTAATATTTAATTCGAAATGGGTTTTTTCTTATTTATGATTTTAGGTGCTAGGAAAGCTTCACCCAATAATGCAGATAGGAAGAAAGGTGATGGTGGCGGCAGTGCTAATGGGAAGGTAAAATTTGGATCTTTAAGCTCGGACTCCTCGTATTACTTGTCTTCGTGGAGATAAATGTTGTACTGTAGGTTAATTGTACAATTTGGTTTTAATGCCGAGTTTGGAGTTATTCTAGTCTTCTAGTTGTAGGCAGTGTTATCTTCAGAGAATCCATAATTTGCCTTAAAAGGACAATCTTGCAAGCAGAGGCTGACCCAGGATTTGAAGGTCAGGGGTGTACTTTTGGATTCAACCAAAATTTGCTTTGTATGTAGCGTGCCCACTAGTGATATATCACTATTTTCTAAAGACGTATACATGTATACATGGAGTTTTTGCCTAACTTCACGTGTGCCGGTGACCCCTCTCGGTATAGCATAGGTCCGCCTCTGCTTGCAAGTGTAGTTTATTAACATTAATATGCTTGGAAGACTCAGAACTGTTCAGTAATAGGTTTAATAGATTTATGATCAGCTCAAGCATGCAGTCAAGCTTCAAAGCATCATGTTCAATCAAGCCCAAGTTAAGTCAAGGCTCGGTCCCTAGCAATTTTGTTTACTCTCTTGCTCTCCTAGTTATTCTGTCTCCAACACTTGTCTTTGTCTATGAGCTAAAGACTGCGAGATGGATTTTTCAGTTTCCCTTCCGTAGGAAAAATAAAAGAAGGTGCTACATAGCTATTACATGGCTCAGAAGAGCTTAATATGTACCAAAGCATAGCCAAGTAAATTTGCTTATATTTTTTTCTGAACAAAATACAATCTTTATTTATTTCTGAAATAATTAATTGGATGCTATCATACTTTTGTTTAAGATTCCTACTTACTATACATCTTGTTTGGGGGGCCTTGCCTTGTTACATCAAAGAATAATTAACTTTAATCACCCATACATCTGGCTATTTGGTGGACTGTCTGGCTCGAAAGAAACAACAGAATTTTTGAAGGCAAAAAGAGAAACATACACAGCCTTAAACAGAGATGTATTTTTCTCTTAGCTTTTTGGTGCAATCTAGTTAGACATGATTTAGATGGAATGCTAGACACAATAGAGGGATTGCGCAACCTGTAATTATACGTGTTGCACTGGCTTAGAGCAGAAATTTATAAAATTTCTAGTTATTTATCAAAAACAAAAAAAAAAAAAACATCATCAAAACAAATTCGATTTCAACTTATCAAAAAAATAAAAAATAAAAGGTATACTTGATATGTCAAGTATTTGCTATTAGTCTCCATTTTGGCCAAAACAAAAGCCAATACATCTGTATCCTAATTTCTAAGTTTGTCGCACCTTTCCATTGTGATTGATCTTTTCAGTGTCTCTTGTTCCATTTATGGTCTTTTGTCATTATCGATTTGTATACGCGCTCTTTCTTGTCCCGAGTAACTCATATTGTTGTGAATCATTAGTAAAAGAAATTCCTGAATTCTCTCTCCTTTCCTCCTGTTTTTTCTTCTAAGACCATTACTGTTTTTTTCTGGCATTTTCCCCCCTCTATGCGAATTTGTTATATGTGTTACATTAGGTGTTGAAAATTCGGACTTTTATGTGTCCCTGAACAGAGACTACATTCAGAAGATCGAATTCAAGCTAAAAATGCGGGTACCAAAAGGAAAGATGATGAAAGCAATTTGAGTGGTGTCGGAGATAACGCACATCAGAAGCGAAATAAAAAGAGAAAAAGGAAGGAAGTGAAGGACCTTCGGTTTGAAACGGCTGAACCGGGTGTTACTAGTTCAAAGAGAAAGGAGCGAAAGAAACAGTAAGAACTAATGCCTCAGTGGAAGATCTCTCTTTTAGTTTCCTGCCTTAAAGATAGTGACATTTACTTGAGATAAACTTTTCTATTACAACACAGGTGAGCTGAAGTAGAGGCAGAGCCATTCTTTTTCTATTGTTAGTAGAGGCAGAGTCTTGTTCGTTTATGTCATCTTAAATATATATGCTACGTGTCTTGTTAGCAGAACAACTAAACCAGCTCTATTTCATGAGGGGAGAGGGGTATCCATTTTAACGTGGGGTATCGAGGGAGTCAAATCCGTAACTTCATGGTTATGCAGCAAGGTGGTTAATCATGCAAAGGCTGCGTGCTATTCTATGAGAAGTTTGACTCTAAATCAGATTCAGGATTTTATTAATTAAATTTAGCGACTAATCTTTTAGCAGCGTTACCTGTTTTCTCTAGTTTAATATATTACTTGCTTGTTTCTCCTTTGTTTTCGATGGTTACTAAGATGCAGCTGAGTCCCATCCCACCCCACCCCCACCCCACCCCACCACCACCACCACCACCCAAATAACTTACTACTCCTTAAGGCATACAATTTCCCCCCAAATAACTTGCTACTCCTTAAGACATAACAATTAGTTGAGCATTGTTTTACTGTTTGTTTATGCTGGCAGAGTGTATTCTTTTGAATTTCACATTTTATTAGCAATTTGAAATTTGGGCCGATGAAGCAACTTTTGTTTGTAAGCAAAGGAAAAACCCAGATTAGCCTTTTTTCCTGAAGCAAATGTAATAAGGATTTCGCATATACAAACATTTTCTGATGCCATATTTTCATTTTTCTTTTCTTTTTATTTTGGGGGTGGGGGTAGGGTTTGGTTGTTACTGAATGGTTTATATTTGGATCTATGCAGGCGTTTAGAAGCAAGAAAGAAGAAACATAAGAATGCCAATATGGATGAAAATGTGGATTTCCCTGGCCGTGAAGAAATAAAATTTGGTGAAGTTGTTCAAGCTCCACCTAAGTTGGTTGTTCCAAAGGTACAGTTGGATGGTTTTATGTTGTATTATATACACTCGCATTGACATCTGAAGTCCTAAACTTTGCCTATGCTTATGGCATTGACCTTGGTATATACTGCAATTCATATGATAAAATGTACTTGTTTTCTCCTTATGAAGGCATTCAAGAATGTACAAGATGCTTCAAAAGAAAGACTTCGATTGCAAGCAGTTGAGGCCTACAGGCAGCGGAAAGGATGGTCATCAAGACCGGGGATTCAGCTTCCTCAACCAATCACAGAGTCTCCACTGGTATAGTTATCCCAGAAACATGGTTTCATTTTTCTCTGGACATCAAATGTGAGCTAGCTGGTAGTATACTTGATGCCATATAAAAGCTCTACATTGTGCACCATATAATATCCAAAGAGTCAAAAAGAAGGAAATACTTGTCAGAGGAAAAATTAAAAGGAAAAAAATTGGAAAGGTAGTGGAGGTTCGGTTTGAATCATATAGTAGAGGAAACTTTCTTGTAGTTTAGTAGCGTTTATGTCATTGAATGAATGTAAAGGGATGTACTGTAGATGCTAATTTACTTTATTCAGTTTAGCATCTGCATGCGTTTATGTTAACCCTCTTTTAAGCTGGCGCATATTTAGTTTGATCTTTTCTTTTGTAATCTTATATGGGTTCCTTTACTGGATCCAAGCATATTTGGTGGTTGTCGCGGACATCTTCGTTTCAAGGAATTTTGCTTAATGGTGAACAAAAAAGAAAAATGAACTTAAGCACAGAGGAGTACGGAGATAGGTGAAACCAGAGAGGAAAATGTTGAGTTTCTTGAGTTTTACATTTTGTCAAATATGTTGTTTCAGTTTGCTCGCAATGCATAGGCTATAGGGGTCTTATTTGAGCTGAGAGTCTACTAACAGAAGACAAAGTGGATGAGGTTTTGAATGAATGTCGAAGATTTAAAATTCATGAGAGGTTGGCCCTCATATGCAGCTGCTTATGCACTATATACTGGCCAAGAAGTAGCGAAGTTTCCTCATCAATCATGAACTGTGTTTGCCCTTGCTATGTCAAAACTGATATAAATTGCAAGCATCTTGAGAAAAATATGCGCATATAACTTGAGGTGGACGAAAAGAGAAAGGCAAATCATAATCGACCTTACACTTGGAATTTTCCAATGTACCTTCTTCGATGTTTCCTTCCTTATCATACTAATGGTCCCAATGATCCGTATAGTTATATACTGACTAAGCATATTATTAAGAAAGTTGAGCAAATTTTGAGCTCAAAGAAATATTTTCTTAAAAGAATCAACTAATTTATGTTTAGAGTCCTACATAATGTAGTGTACTTTTATCGGTCCATAAAATAAAAGAATTTCCAATGAATTCTCTTTCATATCTTGATTTTGCTCTCAACTCTTATGTCGCTTCTAGATGTTATTGATGTCATGTATAATTGACAAGCAAAGTGAGTAATTTAATACACCAATACAAGAAATAAATTTGGAGTCAACACAAAGCTTATTCAAATACTCTTAAATAAAATGTCATTCCTAAAACATTGCTTTCGAACAAACGTGTCATAAGGAAGCAAAATGAAAGTTTATAATTGACAAGCAAAATGAAAGTTTATAATTTAGTACACCAATAAAAGCTTATTAAAACACACTTAAATAAAATGTCATTCCTAAAACATTACTTTCGAACACTCTCCAACAAACGTGAAGCAAAATGAAACCACATACGTACTATTCTTTTATCTCAAATTTCTGGTCCAACAATTTACAAACCTCCTCCAATTAGATCTTCTAAATACGTGTATCTGAACAACTGCCGGTGTAAGATGATGATTTGTCATCGTGTTATTGGCTACTTGTTGAAGAAAGTACGTAACAGATAGGACTTTTTTCAGTTGGACTGTTCAGATCTTGGCAGCTTATGTCTTTTGAGTGAAAATAGCCCCCCCCCCCTCCCTTCCCGTGTCAGATCTCCACTCAAAATGCTATAAATTCCAAAACCCCCTATCATCAAAGTTGTGAATGCAGTTCAGATCTGTCCGAGAAGGAACGTTTTGGTGAGGTAAGCCAATGCTCTTTCTCATACATTGAACCTCAAAAATCTTAACTGTAACATCCTCATTTTGCAATGCCATGTGTATATTGATGGCCTCTCTTGCACGTCTCTTCTTCTTTTTCTTCCGTCGGACGTCGGTGCAAAATTTGCACTTTCTGTAACACGAAAAGTATCTATATGTCTACCTTTTCTATAACATAATCTTGTGCATATCCACAGACACCTTTCGTTTTTTTGAATAATTGCAGTGGCAAACTTGACATTTTTGATGTTTGAATGCAGTGAGAGAGAGAGAGAGAGAGAGAGTTGCTGAGAATTTTTTAGATTAAAAATGGCTGCAAGGAAGCCTGGTTTAATTGCTCTGTTTGATGTCGATGGAACTCTTACAGCACCTCGCAAGGTATGATCTCTTTTAAAGTAGATTTACTTACTGATCTTTATCCAACTCAGCAATGCTACTGAATTTCTTGCGCATCTGCCTGTATACTTTGATCATTTCTACTAATATAGATCTAACATCTGCCCCTCTTGACTTGAACCTATAACCTATGGTTGGTGGTGGAAGTGCTGCACCACAAGAGCAAAAGCCTCACTCGTGAAACTCTTTTCAACACTTCATTTCTTGCTTGCCTCCTAATTATTTTTTTTAAAATCTTGTCACTTGTTCTCATTCTTCCTCTCTTTTGTTCCACTCTTTTTCATAAATTTACTTGTAATGACTTTTACTCATCTCTCTACTGCTAACTGACTCTTCTTCGGAATTCTTACCTCAAATTTCAGGAAGTTACTCCACAAATGTTGGAATTTATGAAGGAACTTAGAAAGGTAGATGATCTTTTTTCTGTATAATCCTTTCTCCTCCTCTTTTTTCTCTCTTTTATTTCTATTTCCTTCCTATTCTTTAACTGTTTGTCTTCTGCAGGTTGTTACTGTTGGAGTTGTTGGGGGTTCTGACCTGGTCAAGATATCAGAACAGCTTGGCAAGACAGGTCAGCTTAACTAGCTTTTATATATATTAAACATGAAGTTGTTATGATCAAAAGCTTAGAACTTGAAATTTTGTGCCAAGGATAGTAATCGAGGGGCCAAATGAGTTTATTAGAGCTCATGTTTGTAGCTCAGTATCTAAGATTCCTCTTGGTATTAGAGCAAGAGAAGAACTATGGTTTCATTCACCAAAGAGCATTGACCTGAGTCTTAACTTTTGAAAAGGTCTTGTAAGAAAAGTTTTCAGTAAAATTCAGTTTAGTGCTCTTTTTCAAAGTCAAGACCTTTCTATAAGTAGTCTTATGGTTATATCTCCCATGTGTGCTGATGAAATGTATGTTTTGGTTAACTTTAATGCTAAAAAATTCCCTGAGGTCAGGCATGTCCATATGGAGCAGATATGATTATCGCGAGAACTATCAGCAGAAAATGACAGTGTAGTAAGCTGTTAAACCCGTTCAATCTGAAAGAAAGAAGAAAGAAACTTCCCATGACAAGAAAGAACACAAAATAGTTATCACTCTCACTTTTTTACTTTATCTATCATTATCTTGAAGTAATGAATTATAAACATTGATGTCTGGTGAACCAAAGAAAGTCTGTGGTCATCAATATTGTCGATCAATGATCATCAATGTGAAAAAGACAAAAACATAAGAAAGAAGTCTATCAATGATCTCTTTTGGTTCTATTGTGATTCTGTCCATTTTTGTTGTTTGGACATCCAAAAGACAAATGATTAAGCCACTTAAAAGAATGTGCCCCTTCTCTTTCAGGAGTCTCATGAAAGACAACCTGAATGCTTTATTCACATGGGGCACAGTTATTCCAGTCACACAAAACTGAAATATACTTATACTGAAGCCTTGGATGTTGGTCATAACTCATAATAGGGTGTAATAATTTGTCAAGCCCCTTGCCATCGTGCTCTTTCCTGTGCTCCTTGATGATTTGTCTTTTTTTTTTAAACTCCCTCTAGCCCGAAAACGTTATCTGGCGTTGCTTTTTACTCGTCCTGAGTTGCGTAGATAGAAGTCTTTTCTTGTCATTCATGCTGAATATTATACAAATTTAAAGAGTATGAAGCCCCCTTTTAACCTCGGAGAAATATCAAACGTAGCAAGGCATAACATTAACCTCGACTTTTGGACAACTTCTCTGTAAAATACTACTTATCTCAATTTTTCTGTTATGCTACTTGTGCAAGCAATCTTGGAAAAATGAAACGTAGAAGGAGGGAGTATATTTTTCCTTTAAAGTTATCTGTAATTTTGAGTTACCTGTAATAGAGCTTGTCTGACTAATGTTTCTGGAGGTTAGGAACCACTCAATGTGTGGCTATTAAGCAATCTTCTAATATTTGTGATGCAGTTACGAAGGATTATGATTATTGTTTCTCTGAAAATGGCCTTGTAGCACATAAGGATGGCAAGCTTATTGGTACGCAGGTACTGGCAGAGATTTGACAACTTATTTATGTAAATATACTTGTGAGTGCAAGTTTGTTTTGTCACGAAACGACATATTTGGGCATTGTCTTTATCCTCAAACTTAAACTAACATCTTTGTTGTCAAAACATAAGCACCTTGTACCAAGTCAGAACTTCTTAAGATACGCAATAAATGCACATTTGCTATTGTCTAAACATGCTATAGTTGGGTCTGGAGCTTGTAGTTCAAATTTAGGTATGATTTACATGGAAATGGAACTTCTCTTACTCACAACCATTTGACTAGACAATAGTCTTATGATATATGGAACAACTTGGAGAGTTTTTCTTTATTTTCAACTTCAAAGTGAATCTCTTCTTTCATTCTCCTTAGTTGCTGATTAGCAGGGTGATTTCTTTTGAAATGACATGATTCTCTGTATGCAGAGCTTGAAATCATTTCTTGGAGACGAGAAGCTCAAGGTTAGTCACTTCACTTTCCCTATTAACGAGGAAATGCTTTATTTTTCTAGAAATCCAAAGAGGGGAACATACCCATCCAAGTGCAGTTCGAGAAAGGCTTAGTGATCCTTTTGAGTGTTGATAAGATAACTTACGAAAAATAATCTCGTTGAATCGATAAATTAATTTGAATGTATACCTCCTATGAATAAGATAAAGCTTCTACGAATCAATATATGATTGTTAATGGAAGTTTGATAACTAAACTATTGTACAGATTCAAGGTTAATAATTGTATTACAGTAATTACTTCAAGACCTATTATACTAGAGTGGCATTTTTTGAATGTGTTTCTCCATATGTGCGTCTGTTTTAACAATTCTTGTGTGAAGTTGGCTTGGTGTTGTTTATCTGAATTTTCTGGTAACAAACCAAATGTTTTCTATGACACGAGGAAATTGTAACCTTAACAAAGAATTTTTTCCATTAAAAGCCAAGAAAAGAATCGGTTCAAATATTTATCGTTTCCCTTCTTCAATAATTGGTAAAAACTTATGATACAACACATCCAAGAAAGGGTAACAGGTGCTTGTAAATTTCAATATTTCGCGGATAGTCTTTTTTCCCATAATTAGAAATGTTCGGTGAAGAGTTATTTGTGTACAATTGCATACAGTTGGGTGAGGATTCATGTTCAAAGGCTCACCCAACTGAATTAGAAATGAGCTTATATGTGGACGGCGAAGACATATCTTGATTGGATGCAAATGATGTGCAGGAATTTATTAACTTTACCCTCCATTACATTGCTGACTTGGATATTCCAATAAAGAGGTGAGCATATGAAAGGTCATCAAAATTGAACAGTTGAATTACGTGCCTCATTTTGGAAAACTTTGTAATCATTCTCCTTTGCAGAGGAACATTCATTGAGTTCAGAAGTGGCATGCTAAATGTCTCACCTATAGGGAGGAACTGTAGTCAGGAAGAAAGGGATGAATTTGAGAAGTATGACAAGGTAGACACAACTGCTCTAATACCACATACATGTGTTGGAGTAACGTACCACTGGCAGATTCTTTCTCTATAAATTAAAGACTTAATGATCTATATTCAGGTACACAAGATACGTCAAACAATGGTATCTGTGCTCAGAGAAAAGTTTGCACACCTTAACCTCACCTTCTCCATTGGAGGCCAAATTAGTTTTGATGTGAGCGACTTTAAGCCTATGCTTGTGCTCATTGATCCTTTAATGTTTAAACTGTATTCTTGACAGATGATTTTGTAATCTTGCTCATGACAGGTTTTTCCTCAAGGATGGGACAAGACTTATTGTTTGAGATACCTTGAAGAATTTAATGAAATTCACTTTTTTGGTGACAAGACATACAAGGTCAGTCTTTAGTTACTGATGTGCTTGAAGCTTTCTCTTCATGGTTGACCTGAAGTAAGAATCCTGCTTTTAATTCTAACAGGGAGGAAATGACCATGAGATATACGAGTCCGAGAGAACTGTGGGTCACACAGGTTCGCCTAAAACCTCATTCTTCTGATGTTTGAATAATTATTCGCCTGCATAATTACCCCAAGAATCATATCACCAGTAATTTGTTTGTTTCTTTCTCTTTTTTCCAGTTACTAGCCCAGAGGACACAGTAAAGCAGTGTTCTGATCTATTCCTCGGCAAGGATAATGGAAGTTCTTGAGCTTGTTGCAGTTTTCAAATACACGATTGTATGCTTGTAACCTATGCACGACAGAAATGAATAATTCCAATAATTCTTGTATTACGTTTACCATAAAAATTATAATATGAATGTAGTACTTTTTGTTTACATTTCAATTCAAAAATTATGTTCGACGACTTTCTTTTGGAGTCAAGATACCACAATATTTTTTTCGTTGAGGAATGTGGTTGATCTCAGCGATCTCCATTGACGGACAAGTAATTCCATCGGTCCTAGGTTTTATCTTCATCCTTGTGGTGCATCCAATTGAAGAACCATTGTTGCTCCCAAACGCACACGCAAGTATAGTGGTCATACAAGTAGAGGAAAAAGAAGCTGTCACAAGCTATTAGTCTATCACAGTGATAATGCACCCATTCCACTATAGGTCCTGGATTCTGATTTAGAACAACCTTTCTGTTCTGAGACCTTCATAGAGAACCATTAGGGGGTTATGCTCTACAGTCTACTCGATTCTAAGAACCGAGGCTAGGCGCCTCCTCTATACTCCCTCCGGTCCAAAATAAGTGATTTTTTGGATGTTTTCACACAAATTAAGAAATTCACCTTTTAGCATTAATTAGCAATGAAATTGACCAAATTAACCTTTACTATCTCACATAAACACTCCTAACACATATTCCAACACCATTTACTTCAAGGACAATGTAGGAAAAAAATAATTAATTCATTCTTGAAATCTGGAAAAATCACTTATTTTGGACCACAAGAAAAATGCCAAAAAATCACTTATTTTGGACCGGAGGGAGTACCTAAGTATTATCTCTATCCACCAACTGTCTGGGCAGAATCTGATATTCTGATTCAAGTGCACCTGTAAGCTGTAACATAATATTCTATGAAGTTTGCATCTTCCTTCACAAATACTTATGTCAAGGTGAAAGACAGGCTTATGTTCCCTTCCTCCACACTTAGTGACAGGGGCGTACGCAAGATTTTTTATAAGTGGTGTCGAAATTTATAAAAAAACGAGAATAAGTAATTTTAATTATCATACTTCTAGACAAGAAATAGCCTTAGTAGAGACTTTCTCAAATATTTTCCAAAAATACATGCTATATGAGATTTGAACCTTTGACCTCTTAGAGCAAAAAGAGTAGAGACAATTTGTGTTGAGTGATGTCATTTTTTTCTACTTGGTCATTTTCACATAATATTAATACATACTCCCTCCGTTCCAATTTATGTGAACCTGTTTGACTGGGCACAAAGTTTAAGAAAAAATGAAGACTTTTGGAATTTGTGGTCCTAAACAAGTCAAAAAGGGGCCCAGAGTATTTGTGTGGTTATAAAAGCTTCTCATTAAGGGTAGAATTATAAATTTAAGCTAAATTGTTACTAAATTTAGAAAGAGGTCATTCTTTTTGGAACGGACCAAAAAGGAAATAGGTTCACATAAACTGAACAGAGGGAGTATTTAGTAAAAAAATTCGACGAAGCGGTATGGTGTGACACCACTTTATTGAACTTGCATCCGCCCCTGCTTAGTGAGATCTGTATGTTCCGATTAACCATGTCAGCCATTCCTGTTTTACAAGCAGTTGGCTGTCCCCACCCGAGAACGTATAGCAATGAGTGACAAGCAGTTGGTTGTCTCCACACTTAGTGATGTGTTGTTTTTGAGAGAATACTATAAATATACAAAACTCAGGTATAGAATGCAGTTTAAGGATAAAGCATGATGGAAAGAATAGACAGAAGTCCTTATTATACATGCCATAAGTCGCATATGCAACAAATGCAAGTTATAAGTTGAATACGTCAAATTGCACTTGTCTAATGCGGCTTATAAGTCGCATGTAATAAACTTATGTTTGCTAATAGAAACGTCTAAGTTTTTCCTATTTTAGATTCCTGTTTGGATTCTTATTCATTACATATAAATTTTCTTATCAAAATTTTAGCTTTCATTTGTGATCCTGCAATAGAGAATGACTTTAAAAAAAGTTTCTCCTATGCAGAGCAAATGAGTTAATCACATATTTATTAAAGGTCTAAAAAGTACTATTGAGTATACATATACAGTCATGAATTTTTATATTTATGAAAAGAAAATCGATAATCATTAATCATCTAAGGGGTTAACTTCCAAGGAAAAACCATTTTTCGTATAAGTCAATCCCTAACGGAGAATTATAAATGAAAAGGTAAATTTTTAAAAAGAAAATTTTATGTAATTACAAGAAGTCTAAAACGGGAAATTTTTTTTTACAACTGACACTAGTTGTATGAGTCATTTTTTTATCTCACAGTTTTGTGGACCCAATAATATAAAATAGGGGTGCTCAAATTTGCGACACAAAGGATCGTTAGAGTTTTATTCTAATTCTAATGTATTAGAATAAAACTTATTCTAAAACGGGATATGGAGAATGGAGAAACGGAGACATATATGGAATTAGACAAATGCGGCTTATAAATCGTATAATCACGCGCCGACAGTCTGGGAAATAAATTCAGAAAAAAGAGAAATGGCCAGTGAGGTTGCTGATCAGACCCTCTCAGCTCCGACATTCTTCGTGGCCGTACACGTCGGCGCTGGATATCACGCGCCGTCGAACGAGAAAGCTCTCCGTTCCGTCATGAGACGAGCGTGCCTCGCCGCTTCTTCTGTTCTCCGAAAGGTCAGATTCAGGAGGCAGAAACGATGAGCTGGAATAACACTACTAACTTTTATCTGCTTTTATAGTACTAGTTAATTTCCGTATGCATATTCATCCGTGTGTATTTCTGACTGGAACTATATAATGTACAGTTATATTCTAAAAAATGTATATGTATTTCAAGTCAGCATTCATCGTTACAAAGTAATTTCCACCTCCATTTATATTGTTGTGTTGGTTAAATTTCAGGGTGCAGGTGGATGCATAGACGCTGTTACGGCAGCAATTCTAGTATTGGAGGTACTTCATTAACTTCATACTTTCTATCTGAAAATGGAGAAGATGTTAGGCAGTTTAATTAAGAGGTGAAGAAATCTTAGACCAAAAATGTGGCGTTTGTAGCGATAAATAAATTCTCATGGAAAGATGGTCAGATAGGGGCAAAGTTGGTAGCTTCACATAAAATAGGTTCAAATTGTCTTGACAGATTGTAAATTCTGTGATCATATCCTGGTTAATAACTAGCTTGACATGTCAATAAATTGGAGAATAAGCTTTTAAAATTAAAGTAATTGGACTCTAATTGAATGTCCTATTATGAAATGGCATTCTCATTGAAATGGTTAAAAAAGAGAGTACTGTTTTAGTTTGATAGGTGCACATGAAGGCACTAGTCAAAGAATAGATTAGGGATGATTTGCAAATAGCTCGAGAAAATGTGGATATTGAATTCGGGACAGAGGTATTAACAAAATTTACTTGTAACTTTACCTTGTAATGAAATATGATGTTATATAAATTAGTTGCGATCTATGTTATTATTGATTGAAGAAGGTATTCAATTACCCAATAATGTAATAGGGTGAAACAAGTATGATGCCTGATGAGTCGCTTACTTGGGGCGGGTTTGTTTATTCCATTAACGAGCTTGTAAATGACGATATCCTGTTGTTATAACTTTTTCTAAAATCATTTTATTGCATAGAAGTGTCACAAGTGAAGTCTTAAAATTCCTTTCTAGCACTGAGCTTGGCTGAAGTTATACTCTTGCAGGATGATCCAAACACAAATGCCGGGCGGGGTTCAAATTTGACAGAGAATGGTCAGGTGGAGTGTGATGCTAGTATCATAGATGGTGATTCTGGAGCATTTGGTGCTGTAGGTGCAGTGGCAGGTATTCTCAGAGCCAATGATCATGTACTTATCTCAGAGAGCATTGGCTAATATTTTGAAGTATTGTTATTGCTTTACAGTTAATACTTTAGTTCTTCTGGCATCCATTTTGGTTTACTCTTCTACATCTTTTGTGAAGTTAACCATTACCAGGTGTCAGAAATGCCATTGAGATTGCTGCTTTGTTGGCCAAGGAGCAGATCTCTGGTTCTTCACTGCTAGGACGAATATTTCCAATGTATGATGGCTTTTCTTTAGATGTCATGAAAACAACACCATATTACTTTAATAACCTTGAAACTATTTCCTATTTTAATTAATATCATCATCCTTTTTTTAATATATGTGCAATATGAATACATCATTGTCAAAATATTACTACCATTTAAGGTTTCAAAGAAATTGGAATTTACTAAAATGGAAGCCGGTCAACCAAATTTCTGTGGTCAGAAAAGATAGTCAAATAGTTGAGAACAGAACATATCATTCACTATTGATGCATTTCTTGTTGCAAACTACTCATTTTCATGTAAAAAAATGTTTAATGTTCTGCTTTACATATCAAAGGTTTTCTATTTTGATTCAATTGGCTGATTTTTTTTAATAAAAATTTTAGGGTCATAAACACTAATGATGCTGAAAATGTTATTATAACTTTTCAGAGCTCTTGTTGATCTCGTTGCATCATTATTTTTTTAGAATTTGTTTGTATGTTTGAGTCCATTTCTTTGTGTCTTGGTTTGACTTGTTTCTTCTTCCATCTTTATATTCTAATGGAGCTTTTCTGGCCTGTGGTCTAGGTTTTTAGTTGGTGAAGGCGCCCGTGTATGGGCTAAGTCCAAAGGTGTTGTTTTACCATCAACTGTAGCAGAGGCTGATGAGGTAGAGTACACTTGTCTTAAATGTAGATTTTGTTTTTTCTTTAATGTCAAACACTAGTAATTACATTATATAAGATCAATAATAAACAAACACTCAATTTATCCTTTGCAATTTGAGTGGATATTAGATAGTGAAAGATACTCTTTTACTTTGTATAACTTGTTTTGTCATCTTTGGTCCTTCTATGCTTCCAAGATGTAGAAGTTCAACAAACAAAATTACCTTGACTTTTGCTTTTCTTTGGAACTTCCCACCCTCGCAATTTTCATCTTCCCCGCGTTCATCGCAGGAGTGTCTGCAACTATCTCTAGGTCGGCAGCTTGCCTTCCGGTGATACCTTGGCATTTTTTCCATTGTTGTTCGATCCATTTGGTGGCTTACTATTGCTGGATCCCGCTTTGAGTTCATCAAGTAGCTTCAGATCTGTTAGTAGTACCTTGTTTGCACGCTTTGATGGTCGTCCCCTCCCCATTCCGGCAGCCGTTAGATTTTTTTTAGTTTTTATTTTTTTTAATATAATTTTGACGTGTAATTTGGTGTTTAAAGTAATATTTAGGGGTGGTATAAAATGATAGTTAGGGGTATGATTGTTCCCTAATGTTTTGGTGACTCAACCATTAGAATATAGTGAGATGTTGGAAAAATAAACATGTTAATTTGCTATTGGAACATATGTACTAGTACTTCTATGGTGTAGGAGAAGAAATGCACAATCTATATGTTCGTTTCCTTTTTGGAGGGGGTGTTTTCTCTCCGTTAATGATCTGTTATAAGTCAGCAGAATTAATGCATTTTTTTTATTTGAAAGGACAACTCTATATTCCTTTTATATGTTGAGGGTGCATGGTATAAAATGGTTTGTAATATTCTTATTAATTGTGTACTTAAAAATTCTTACTAATTGTGAAATAATTGAAAAGCTCAATGATTATGAAAACTTCTTTATTTCATGTAATGTGGATACTTATATAATTAGCTCTTTTCACATGAAATCTGAGATACTAGATCTTGGTGAAGGCTTAATAAGTTTATGTCTAGCAGAGAGCATCTTTTACAACACATGGCCGACCATGGTTTTTTTGTTGTTGTAGTTTTAACTACTCCTTCGTTCCATCTATGTCACGGTAATTGACTAATCATGGAGTTAGGATGTCCTCTTTTTTGATAACGGCAAATCCTAGAGGGCCAGTTGGAACGTGGTTCGAAACTCGGTGGATAATGGGGCAACCCCTTAAACTTTCTCGCTTAAATACGAGATTTTTGTGTGTGGTAGGGTTCGGATCGTGACGTGCACCTAAACCACATCATGAATTGCGCTCTTATCATTGAACCAAGCCCAAGGCAGTGTTTTGGAGAGCGCAAGAGCAAAAAGACGACAACGGGCTCGCTCGCTTCAAAGACGAAGACGCACGCTTTAATTTAAAGTAGTAAGACGACAATTACTTTAAAAACAATAAATGTAAAATTAATAAATAATACAAAACATACAATTAAATAACTTAAAGTAGGTACTAGGTACACCAAATCATCACAACATAGACAAGGAAATAAATAATAATTTGTTGAAATAATTAATATAATAGAATAAATAATTAAATATATATATGCTGAAATAATAATAATAATTTATATGCTGAAATAAAATAATAATAGAAATACAATAATTAAATATATATATATATATATATATATATACAAACGAAAAGGAAAAAAAAAGAAAAAATTGTTCCTTCCCCTGTTCTGACTGTATAAAGTCGAAACAGAGAGAGAAAGAAAGAAGAAGCAGAAAAATGAAGAAGAAGAAGAGTGGTCAACTGGTCTGAAGAAGAAAGCAGAAGAAAGAAAAAACAAAAAAACGAGAAGAAATTACCTGGGTTGGTCTTCGAGGTCGACTGGTCGAGCGACTGAAGAAGAAGATGGAACCCTAGCTTTTTTTTGTTGACTGAAGAAGAAGATGAGCGACTGTCGAGCCTCTGTTTTTGGTCGAAGAGGGTTTTTTGTCAATTTAGGGTATGTTTTGTCTCAGACCCAAAGTTCTTTTTTTTTTTTAAAAAAGGCCCCTGCGCGTTTTTCAATTAAGCGATCGCTTCATCGCTTTGGTCGCTTCGTCGCTTCATCGATTTTTTCAGGGAAGCGTGCGCTTCTGCAAATCGAGTCGCCTCAAAGAACTGGAAGCGACACAGCATCGCATCGCCTCGCTTCGCGCTTTAAGCGACGAAGCGCTCGCTTCTTTAAACACTGGCCCAAGGGCTATGGAGTTAATATGTTAGATTTGTCTTAAATGTTAGTGTATTCGTTATAATAAAAGAAATATCATGGTTGGAAAATTAGGTTGATAGAGAAACATCACATCGAAGTTTAAACTTTGATGTTAGAAGTGTACCCACATTGGTAGGGATGTGGGCTGTCGCCTCATGAGTTAGCTTGTGGAGTTGAGTTAGGGCAAGGTCCGTTTTCTTAACATGGTATCAGAGCCAAATCCCATTCTTCTTATTGTATTTTCCAATGTGGACAGGTTGGACCCCAATATTATGTTGTCAAGGCTCTAATTGTCCAGGTCTTGGCTTGTCCGCCAGGGTGGTGAGGGTCGTTTTTGTTGTTGAGTCAGGTCTTGGCTTGTCAGCAGAATTAATGCATTTTTTATTATTTGAAAGGACAACTCTATATTCCTTTTATATGTTGAGGTGCATGGTATAAAATGTCCTGTAATATTCTTATCAATTGTGTACTTAAAAATTCTTGCTAATTGTGAAATAATTGAAAAGCTCAATAATTATGAAAACTTCTTTATTTCATGTAATGTGGATACTTATATAATTAGCTCTTTTCACATGAAATCTGAGATCCTAGATCTTGGTGAAGGCTTAATAAGTTTCTGTCTAGCAGAGAGCAGCCTTTACACCATATGGCCGACCATAGTTTTTTTTTGTTGTAGTTTTAACTACTCCTTCGTTCCATCTATGTCACGGTAATTGACTAATCATGGAGTTAGGATGTCCTCTTTTTTGATAACGGCAAATCCTAGAGGGCCAGTTGGAACGTGGTTCGAAACTGGTGGATAATGGGGCAACCACTTAAACTTTCTCACTTAAATACTAGATTTTTGTGTGTGGTAGGGTTCGAATAGTGACGTGCACCTAAACCACATCATGAATTGCGCTCTTATCATTGAACCAAGCCCAAGGGCTATGGAGTTAATATGTTAGATTTGACTTAAATGTTAGTGTATTAGTTATAATAAAAGAAATATCATGGTTGGAAAATTAGGTTGATAGAGAAACATCACATCGAAGTTTAAACTTTGATGTTAGAAGTGTACCCACATTGGTAGGGATGTGGGCTGTCGCCTCATGAGTTAGCTTGTGGAGTTGAGTTAGGGCAAGGTCTGTTTTCTTAACATGGTATCAGAGTCAAATCCCTTTCTTCTTGTTGTATTTTCCAATGTGGACAGGTTGGACCCCAATATTATGTTGTCAAAGCTCTAATTGTCTAGGTCTTGGCTTGTCCGCGAGGGTGGCGAGGGTCGTTTTTGTTGTTGAGTCAGGTCCATGGTTTATTTTCTTAAGAGTAGTTTAATGAATCTTGTTAGAATAGTCATGTAAATAGGAGTAAATAAATAACCCTAATCCAATATATGTTAGGAGTAGGACATGTTATGTGTGTATATATATAGGGCTCATTGTAACATATGTATATACATCAATAATATATTTTTTCCCGTGCTTTCTCACAAATCTGAATTCCGGAAATTTTTGAAAGTTGTATAGAAAAGTATTAGTGTTGAACTTTTTGGGACGTCCTATAATCGAAAGATGTCATATAAATTACGATGAAGGGAGTATTTATGTCTATTTTTGGTGATGTTTTGGTGGCACCACATCTCTTTACGGGTTTGTCTCTGGTGTTTAACCTTTTCCACCCACTTCTAACATCAGGAGTTTCTCCTCTTTAGGAGGAATTAAACAATCTTCATCACATGTGCAGCCAGAAAGCTGGATGATGTATGTACTACACGTGTTTCACATTATATTAGTCGTTTTGTATGGATGTCATCAGTTATTGTCAGATGGTGTGTCAAGTCAGAAATTGCTTCTGTCCAGTTACTGCTATGTCAACAGTGAATGACACCCACCACCCATTCAGCATCATGTCATAATCAAAAGCAACAAGTTTCCACTATTCACATTAACTACTTGTGGAGCTAATTGGTTATCCACCACATTCCACTTTCCTTCTTTCTTTTATATCTATATTTTTAATCTTAATTGCCTCCTACTATGTTTTAGTTTTTAATGGTTAACATTTTTCTTCAAATTTCAACTTCTAGGTTAAGGATAATTTCATTTTTAGGGTAAAACTGTTAATACACATTCTTCTGCTGTTGCTCCGAAATCGAGGTTGTCAATAACACTTTTTACCAGTGGGGAGACTCTATATCATTAGAGGGGAAGTGCTTAGCATTCTCTAAGCTATAAGGGAGGTCTCTTGAATTTTAATCACTTAAATGGGAGGTCTATGTGCTTAATCTAAATATTCATTTTTCCTGAACTTGACTTGAAGTGTACTATTTATTTGTAATATGGAAACAGTGGCTTGTGACTGGGAAGGCAAGTACCCAATGGAAAAGATACAAAGCAATGCTTCATCATGCCAAAGTTGGTAATGATGCTCTTGACTTAATGATGACACATCTTAAGGAGACTAATGCAATATCTGGTAAGTTGTAGCATATTGTTGTCCAAAGTCTTTTGACTTTGATATGGCTACTTATTCTCTATGTTGTAGATTTTCCTTGGATTTCCTTAATGCGTCTTATTATCATGATGTGTGAAGGGTCAGTGAGTGGACAAAAATTACTATTTCGAGTCTCACGAACGGACATTACATATTATGAGGTCTCAAGTATCCCATTTTTGCATTTACTTAACATTAGACGTATCGTAAACCCCTCTAATAAGTTGTATCTTTAGAAGTTGTTACTTTGTGCCCATAAAAGTTGTATATTCCAGTATATGAAACATTCCCTTGCTATACAATCTGTAGAGTCTAAAGCATATGGCATCATCAAAGTATTGTGCTTTAGGCTGCTAGATGACTATACAATTTATATTCTCAAGTTGACTGAATTGACTGGAGACACTTATCCTCTGATTGAGTATTTTTGTCATCAGAAGTGACACTGATCTTCTGCAGGCTACATAGATACTACAGGAGCATAATATATATGCATTTTAATGTAGTAGACAATTGCATAGTTACAAGGTATGACCAAATTCAATGCTCCCATATAATCACTTTTTCCTTGTTGGCATATTCTGCTTGGCCGGACCATCTTGTTTTCCAGTAATTTTTGATGTCATGAAATATTTTGTTTTTTTGGTTGATTCCCTCTCCCTCTCTGCCTCTGTGTATGTGTGTCTTTCTTTTGCATTCTTTTTCACAAGTAGAGGGCCAACCATGTGATCAGTTGTGGGGAAATGGAGTTGGTGATGCGTTAGATGAAGACTTGATTTCGGACACAGTTGGGGTTATCTGTCTCGATTCAGAAGGACATATAGCTTGTGGAGCCTCTAGTGGTGGTATAGCATTGAAGGTGATGCTTCTAGAAATGACATATGAACTTGTAGTTTTTCTGCCCGACTTCTGCATTTTCCTGGTATACTGATACACTGTATGAGCATGTTTGAATTTATGCACTTCAAGGTTTCACGGTAGAAGGATTGTGACTGGTGCAGCTTCATCTGGGTGTTAGATACTTCAGTTGGTGTGTGTGTGTGTGTGTCAGTGTGTGTGTGTGGGTCGGGGGGGGGGGTGTTCTGAATTTAGGCCTTAATTTTTATGTGATAGCCTTTGTGAATTTACTGGGTTTATACTGGGTTTGTTGTAGCCTTTGTGAATTTAAGATTATCTTAAGTTGTTAGAGCCTTCATAATGCTGACTGTTGTTCAGACCTGGAAAATCGAAAGTTCTCATTCTGTCGCACTATAAGTGGAAGGTCGTAATTGAACACAACCACAGTACTTGAACAAGGGAGTGTATTGGTCAATGTATATGCCTTTTGGGAAAGAACCAGTTATCCAAATTGATTTTCTTGGTAATTCTGTCTTATTTGTTGGTCAATATTTCAGGCAGTCTTCTCCTTCTGCTTCGCTTTAGCGGGTCTCGTCTCTCTATAGTCATTATCGGTATTTCTGACGACTTTCATCAAAAGAAACAAATAAAATATTTGGTCAAATAATAACAATAGCAGCTACTATGCCCCGACCTCAAACTAATTGGGGGCACACTATATGAATCTTCTATATCTATTCCGCTTTATTTGGGGAAATCTTGATCCGCAAAAGTTAAAACAATGAAGGAAGAAGAATACAACTTGCATTTGTTAATGGATAAGAGTTCATAGTGGTGGGTAGTGAGCACAGGGCCGTACAAGCTAAGTGCTAACAACTCTGAGATCCTTGAGACCAATATGGGCGTTATGAGTGGTTAGTTATGCCTTTTGTCTTGACTCCAACAATTTCTTGAGATTGATGAATCATGTTTTTAAGGATTTTCATGGAAAATTTGTGGTGGTTTATTTCGATGGTATCTTGATTTATTTTAAAAATCTTGATGAGCATGTGGAACGCCTAAAGCAAGTTTTTGAAGTTTTTAGAAACCAACACCTGTTTGCTAATCTTAAAACTTTTGTGCTGTTGGAACAAATATACATGTATTTGCCTATCTTCCATAATCTCTGCTGCTTCTATTTAACTTCTCAGTATATCCTTTTTCTGCACTTTACTCTCCGGTCATACCTGACTGCTTGAAAGGCTTATTTTGTACTTTGACTTTATACATGCACCATGTACGTGAAGATTAAAAACCATGAGATTATTGAAGTAATTAAAAGTTGTATCATGGTTTTGGTTTTTTCGAAGATGTCTGCTTCTGGTTTGCTTTGAATTTCTGTTTTCGTAGCAGTATCCGTACAATCTACTTGGAGTGTAAAGTTTTCTTGATTTCAATGTCTATTATTTCCTTTAGCAAACTTAATTGCTGTGAAACTTTTCCTAGCTCTGATTTATTGTATTTGAAAGAGAAGAGGCCCTTTTCCATTATTTTCTTTATATTGAGCTGGTAAATTTGTTGGATTGCTTATTTATTCAGCCGTTAAAACTTCTAACAGGTAAGTGGGCGTGTGGGTCTAGCAGCAATGTATGGTTCCGGTTGTTGGGCATCGTCAATAGGGCCTTTTGGAGCTCCATTTATTGTGGGATGCTGTGTCAGTGGTGCTGGAGAGCATCTAATGAAAGGATTTGCTGCTCGGGAATGTTGTATTTCATCATCACTGTATGTTTGCCACGCATTTAATATCCCACTTGTCCCCATCACGATTCTACCTATTATTAGCTGTGGCCAATATGATTGTTGAACTCCTTTAGCATTGAAGAAAATTTTGATGTATTTTACTGGACATTAGTGGTCATTGTTGAACTTGAACATGCACATATTCGGTTTCATCTCGCTTTTCGCACTTGAATTTGATACTGGCCTGTTTCTTTCTGCAGGTCACAAGCTGGTCCATCTTCTGCCTGTAAAAAGGTTTTGCGAACTGTTCAAGTAAACAGCCAATGTGGTGCTGAAAGTAGTGCTGGATTCCTTCTCGTTCAAGCAGAGCCTTCAAGATTAGTAAGATCGTTCCTGTGTTTCTTTATCTTTCTAGTTTCCCTTGCTTCAATCTAAAGGAAAAAAAGATAAAGGAACTTACACATTGGCTGGCGATCTGTTCATAGGTTGCAGGTACTTTGTCTAAGCTGGAAACTGTTGAGATTGCAGCTGTTTACTCTTCCTCATCTTTTGGAATAGGTTATTTTGGCAGCTCTATGGATAGGCCCAAGGTATCATACATCTGCGTATTCTCACCTTTTATGCAAACATACACCATTTTTTTGTGTTTGAACCGTTGGCCCATAGTTTAATAATTGTTTCTAGGGAGAAAGGTAGGAGTAGCTGCATAAAGATCGATTATGTTGCTTTGATGACAATATGATAAATTTGGAGCTAGTTTTGATTATGGTCCAAGTTTATCACTGAAAATGATAATCGTTGTTTTGGATTTTTCTTTTTTTATTGTTTAATTGCTTATATCTTATTTCGTAAGGACAATTCCGCTCGTTACACAGATATCTGATTGATTTTTGGAAACCACGAGGGATTAATTATTACTACATAATGTTTTGTTTCTACATTACTTTTGACTTTTTGTTAAAATTCATTACTACCGGGAACAGCAGCCAACAGTCGAGCTTAATCAATTTGAACCTAGAAAACTCAAGCTCGAGCTTTAGACTTGGTGATGAGGTTCAAAGATGATATTCCTATCCTGTTCATGAAACACTATATCATACAGTGATCCTCTATAAAAAATCATTACTATTGGTTAACTAAAAGGAATCATCATGATATGAAGAAATAAAAGAAACTAAAAAGAATCATAGACATTGTTAAAATATAGCTTTGCTTGCTATGTTGAGGAGAAGCTTTTCAAGTTTGCAGATCTTAGTCGTCTTCCCCTTTTTCTGTTCTGTAATATACTATTTAAGACCAAATAATATACTATTTAAGACCATTGTTGCTGCAAAAATGTCACCGGTACATGTTTGTATTCAACATGAGCTTCTACAATTAGTGTACTTCTAATTGTGATCTTCTACAGGTTTCAGTACTTAGGAGTAAAAAGCAGCAAAGTAAAACTGGAATCAATGAGTTTGCAGCACGAGTTAATCTTGTGACCAAGAAATGATAGTGTTGCAGCAGGAGTGGCAATTGGAGAAACTACTTCCCATTTCAACGGTGTCATCATTTAAACTAGTTATCTAATCAGCCGAATGCTGAAGATGGAACAGAACGCTCTATTCAAGTCTCAAGATATGCTGAGACAACTAAACTGGTAGTTGAGGATTGTTATAGACGTAGTTGAACCTAAAGGAATCAGGGATTCGAATGAAACTAGTGTAAGAGATTGCTGCAGACATGATGTGGTAGAACTGATTTTTGAATTATCAGAGAAAATATACTGCTATTTCGTAGGAATGTATGAATTATTGTTTTTCATTTGGAGCTTATATATATAACTAGTTTTCGGATACGTGCGTTGCACGTGTGTCCTTGTCAAGTACGTTATAATTTTTGGAACCTGCAACATGTTTGCGCAATATTAACAATTACTATGTACATTGGATCTCTCAGCATAAAAATTAAGACGACATTCTGCATTAAAAGAATTTATTGTGCATTTTTATGGAGTGAAATAAAGAAAGTACAAAAATACTACTATCGTGGACAATGAAAGAAAGAAAATTGAAATGTAAATTATACCTAATGAACAGTTCTTTTTTTAACTCGAGGATAAAATAGTTATTCATATTTTAAAGGATAATTATTGTAAATTAAGGTAGGATCTTCCTACGTAATATTTCTTTTACTAATTTTCTAATTTCTGTTATTTTAGAATTCATGAGATGACTTCCTTTTATGATTTAATTGTTTCATCTTATTTTTCTTGATCTCTAGGAGAATGCGTGTTACATATGCATATATATAAAAACATGTTAAACTTTATTTAAGT